GCTCATGATAAATCTAAATCTTTCTTAAATCTTTCAAAAACCTCAGGTTAAAAGGAAAAAAAAATATGATTTTCATAAATTGAATTTAGGGGACATGGTTTGGGACAGCCCCCTCCCAAAAGAGAGCATCTAGTAAGTGGTGATTTTGATTATTTTTAGCTCATAGCTTATAATTTTTTAGCTTATATCTTTTTTACTGTGGTTGGTTTGCTGAGGTTGGCATCATAGAGCAGTTTTCATGCCTGCCTTGTTTTACTTCCTCTTAAAGTCTATAGAAGGTCATTTTTGGCACTACATGTTAATTCATAAGTGGCTGTTTTTGCTGTCTAAATTTTCAAAAAAAATGGTAAAATTTGTCTTTATTACAACAAGTCCTTAATACACCAGTATGTTGTGGCGAGGCAAAGGTTGAAGGACTATTTTTTTTACCGTGTCACCATGTGGTCCATTTTGACATGATTGCATCACGTAACTCCCTCAGGCGCACTTTCATGCTGTGAATGTCCTGTTTTACCACATCCCAAAGGTGCTTTATTGGATTCAAATCCCATGACTGGGAAGACCACTGAAGAACAATGAACTCATGGACATGTTCATGAAACCACTTTGAGATGAGTTTTGCTTTGTGACATGGTACATTATCACACTGGAAGTAGCCATTAGAAGATGATAAATTGTGGCCATTAAGGGATGGACATGGTCAGCAACAATAATCAAACAGGTTGTGGCATTCAAGTGATGATTGATTAGTATTAATGGGCCCAAAGTGTGCTAAGAAAACATTCCCCACACCATTACACCACCTCCACCAGCTTGGACTGCTGACACAAGGCAGGTTCAAGATTCATCAGACCAGGTTATGTGTTTCAGTTTGCTGGTTTTGGTGAGCTTGTGACCATTGCAGCCTCAGCTTTCTGTTCTTAGCTGACAGCAGTGGAACCTGACATGGTCTTCTGCTGTTGTAGCCCATCTGCCTCAAGGTTCTTCGTGTTGTGCATTGTGAGATGCTTTTCTGCTCACCACAATTGTGCAGGGTGGTTATCTGAGTGACCGTAGCCTTTCTTGTCAGCTCAAACCCGGCCATTCTTACCTAGCCTCTCTCATCAACAAGGCATTTCCATCCGCAGAACTGCTGCTCACTGGATGTTTTCTCTTTATTGCTCTAAAAACTGTAGAGACTGCTGCGCATGAAAATCCCAGGAGATCAGCAGTAATAGAAATACTCAAACCAGCCCATCTGGCACAATCATGCCACAGTCAAAATCACTGATATCACATCCTCCCCTCATTCCTTAGGTTGATGTGAATATTACACGAAGCTGCTGACCCATATCAGCATTATTTTATGCACTGCACTGCAGCCACACGATTGGCTGATTAGATAACTGTTTTCGACTTTTTTAAAGGCCTAATATACAACAAAAAGGTTATAAATGCCATTAAGGACATGCTGAAAACACTGAAGATGAAAAGATTATATTTATTTAGTTTCTCTGTGAATCCAAGAACACATAGATTAGTTTTCCTACTTTTTTATTTTTTTAAACTTCAACTAAAAGTAAGTTTGTTTGGCTTTGAAAAAAACTGTGAGGTAATTTGGGCATCGTTGCAGTAAGGACATATAAATGTGGGACAGACATGATACTAATGATCAGTTACAGAATTTTTGTTTTTAATTCAACACAAACAGTGCAGTTTCAATCAAAATGATGTCATTTTATAGCTGAACAACTTCTATTTATGCATTTGAAGAAAAATTACAATTGTGGGACTTGAATAAAAGCAATATTTAGGCCAATATATTATATAAATGACTTTTAACTTATAAATTGGTCATTAAATCTAATACGTGAAAGTGCATTATGATACTACTAAACCATTCTCTACACGTTATGCTAAAACAGCTAACATATATCCTGAAATTCACTGCCAGGACTAAAAAAGTACCTGTAGTTGCTGAAATACTCGAGTACGCATTTCGCAAACAAAGGGAAAATGTAACGTGTGCCTTTACTGTTTGCTTTCAATGTTGTGTTTAACATGAGTTTATGCCACAAATAATTCAAGTCTCTTTGAGTCTCTTTCTTATCCTCTGTGCATTTTAAGTGCTGACCCTGATTTATACCATCTGGAATTTTCATCATGAGGCAGAAAATTTATGTGGTGTGGGTGAATCAATAAAAGACAGAGCAGCTTGTAGCATCAGACACAAGGACAGACAGTTAAATACGCCTCCATAGTCTTGCTGCAATGCTCAAATCTCAGGTTAGTTCTTAGGTTTTAATCGCTGCCTTTTTATCAATTATAATTGGATATTTTGATCAAATTAAACAAAAAAGGCTACCATGGTTTGTGCTTATTCCCCACAGGCCATTACTGACCACACACACACACACACACACACACACAATGACAGTGACATTTTATCAGAGGACTTCAGATCTGTATCTTTTTCAATAAATGTCTTGGAGGCCTGGGTAAGGCTTGGAGTATAAATCAAAATTAGCTTGGCTTTATTGGATTAGTGTGAAAGACGTGGATCCACATACATGTTGTGTCTAAGAGAAACAGTATTGGTCTAAGGGATCAGTTTCACTAGTCATTTCATTGTATTTGTGAAGACTATCCCAACAGATCAGTTTTCTCTGTACTCTTCTTCAAGGGTTCTTCAATAAAGGGAATGGTTCCATTTATAACCATTAATTCTGTATAGAACTAGGCTCTTTATGTTGATGGAGAAAGTGTTGTAAATGATTCTACATAGAACCTTTTTGAAAAAAGTTCTATATAGCACCATATATATTGTGACCCTGTAACAATAGATAAACCCTTTTTGGTACTACACAGCAGTGGTTCCCAACTCTGGTCCTGGAGAACCCCCTGCTCTGCATATTTTTGTGTTTTCCACCAAACACACCCAGTTCAACTCAGGAAGGGTGTGTTAATTAGTGGATTCATTGGTTCAGGTGTGTTGGGAACAGATCAAACACTAAAATGTGCAGGGCAGGGGGTCCTCCGGGACCAGGGAACCACTGCTCTGTAGAACCATATACAACACATTCTCCATCAATTAAAAGAACTATTTCACCATGCAACGAATCATTTAAACATGCAAATGGTTCTTTGAGTGTTCACGGTTATAAACAGTACCACTGCCATTAACTAAAGAACTTTTAAAGAACCATCTTTTTTTTTTAAGAGTGTAGCTGGACATTGGACCCCCTAACGACTTCTGACAACACAACGTCATTTTATAGTTAACCAATAGCATCCATTCTGGAATGAGGTTTTATTTACCTAAAATGGTCATAATTTAATTTTACTTGACCATTTCCAACATCTTTATCCCCTAGAATTTAATAAGCTGTTTTCGTGCCTCATTCAAAACGCAGTCAGGGCCGAAACAATATCCTATGACCTCAATGTGGGTGGGGCTAAAGTGCTGTACGCTAAGTGAATATAAGTAAATGTTACAAAACAATGAATTTTAAACAGGCTGTTTCTACATATGGACTGGGGAGTCAATAGTACATTTTGAAAGTAATGTTTGCATATTGCAACTCTTATTTGAAGCTGCACTAAGTAAGACTGAAAAATTGAATGAAGTAGCATTACTGAGTTAGGAGAAAGAAAACACGCTAAAGTATGTTGTGGTCTGCTGCGAGTCGCCCTGTAAAGCCTGAAATCACCATTTAAAGTCAGAGGCATGGGCAGACGCTGCAGGAGTTTTTTGGACCACAGCATATGTCTTTTCATATCAATGCCACATGCACAGACTCAAAAAGAGGATCCAGCTCCATGTTTAGATCTCAAATGCAAAATCAACATTAAACCGATGAAGATATGACGACAATAGTAGATCATTCACTTCCATCCTCAGAACACACGTTCTTAACCAGGTTTGACCAAGTTCTCTTTGAATGCTCAACACGCTCACAATCATCAGATTCATCCTCTGAGGGACAGGGGTCCAAAGCACACTTGACATTACAAATGTTCCTCTGCATATTGCAATTACAAATTTCCACCAGAGAGGTCTTCAAATCCCCTAATCTTATATAGTGTAGCTTCAAAAAAAAAAAAAATAAATAAAAATAATGGACCGCTGAGTGTGGTCATTTAATAGTTTGCCATTACCACCCACACTAGCCCTGGGTTTCAGTTATTTTTGTCTATTAAGGGCAAATTAACAGCCCCTGTTGTGCCCTGTGGTTAACCAACATGTTCCAAAACCTCTTAAGAACAATGGTTCTTCAAAATGGTTCTATATAGAATCATGAACACTCAAAGCACCATTTGCATGATTACATTTTTTTGAAAATGGTTCTATATAGCACCAAAAAAGGTTCTGCTATTGTTACAATACAAGCTTGTAGCAATAGCAACTCTTGTTGGTGCTATACAGAACCCTTTTCAAAAAGGTTCTATATAAACATCACCACAGCAACTTATGACGCACAACTAACCTCCAGAACAGGTTAAGCTTGGGATTTCAGATCATAAGCAGTCCTAAACTAATCAGGGCGAAGCTCTGTCCAATCAGGGACAGCCTTCTGATTGAGGTGACCACTTCTGCTTCCTTTTCAGGACACTTTTTTTCCTTTTGTTTTGTTTTTCCTCCTTTTTTCCCCTCCATTTGTTAGGTTTTCTGAAACTGAAAGTCAGGAACCTTGTGGAAGCTGAACATGCTTCGTAAGACAGACCCCTGGAATCCATACATGCCACCAACCTCAAAATAATGCATGAGGTTAAATATTTGATAATCAAAAGAACATTTTGGCCAAAATGAATAATTTACAGCAGATGTAGCAATGGGTAATCACACCTACCAGCCTCCTATATCTGTACCACAGCTGTCTCGAGAGTGAGACTAGAGAAGATTAGGAAAGCCCACTTCTGATGATCTTGAAGGTGGGAGCAACATCATTCAGACGTTTTACAAAAAGAGTAGGTTGTAAACTGACACTGTGGAAGAAAAATGGCAAGTAATCAGATCAGTGTACTATTAATTTGACATGTTTATTGTGCCTCTGGCTGAAGTCTCTGCTTTTCAACTTCACCATTAAGTTTCTCACAGCACCTTTCAAATCCTGGGGGGCCGTCCCTCAACACCATGTCTTTTAAGACTCGTTTAGGAACGGAACCACCGCTCCAGATACCATTTCATGACAGACTGAGACAGACAATGCAGGACGAGGGTAATGAGTAAAGACTGAAGCAGCGCTCTCCACTCGACTAACAGCTGAAAATATGACTTTCCTTGCTAAGACGGATATAAATACAAAAATAATCCATTCATTCACACACACACGCACACAAATATAGATACACACATTTCTTTTGTTTTAAAACAAAAGGCTTCTCTGAAGCAACAGTATGAAGACAAAAAGGTCACTTCAATTCATTGTGACAAAATAAGAACGGTGGATATTTTCATGGTCACTGCAATTTTGAAACATGGCTTTTGGAAAAATAAATAAATAAAAAAAAGACCCATGAAAGAATGATAATGAATTAGCCGTGCAAAAGCAGCTCATTTCATTCTCAGACTTTTTTTTTGTTTGCTTCATCAGTCTTTCTGTGATATGTCCCCGAGGCCGGAGGAAAAAGGTTGTTTAAGTATTAGAAAAAATGTAAAACACTTCTCATGAAATAGTGTATGACACAAAGTGACAAGTGGATGATGGTGTACTTCACTGATGAAGTTTAGCCAAAACATCATAAGCCTGTACTGCATTGCAGTGGTAGACTGGAATAGAATCTTATATGCAATAAGACCAGATCGAGTGTAACAGAGTGTAAGCATTTACATCAACAGTAACACAATACATTACTACGGGGCATTCTATTACAATTCAGCAGTAAACTGGGTGAGTACCGAGGAGCTTGCGATTCACCTAAACCACATGATTGTCCAGGCTTCTGGCACCCAGACCATGCAGATGACCAATGAAACTGACTTATCCATGCTCCTCCTATGACCATGTTCTTTTATAGCAACTGTTGCAAAGCTGGACAAGCTTTACAGAATGCTGGGGGAAAAAAAAAATATATATATATCAACCTAGGGCTGAACGATTAAAATGTATTTTTTTTATTACTGAAATGGCAATTTGAAAAAGTGGTTGTGATTAGAAAATCACAAGAGCCGCAATTTTTATTATGACATGCATTATCAACAATGCTGAACTATGAATGACATTTGATATTCAAGTATGAGTTAATGAACCGAACCCAAATAAATTAACTTTGCCTGAAAATAATGTAGGGGTGTAGGCTTACATTTTTAGATGACGGCACTGGTGTTGCCCAAAAATACAGCAGCGCATAAACGTCTACACTAAAGCATGTTTCATTACTCAAAAACAGTCAAGGGAAATCTAGCTTTTCATGTTGGGTGACTGGCGGAGACTGCCTGAGATAAACTAATGAGCTAACAGAGCTAACGTGTTACGCTGGAAGCTGATAAGGATATCATCTTCTACAGAAAGCATTTTCTTCTCAGTGAACGATGTGCCAACATGTTATTTTGTCAGAGAAATACTTTTTCACTGTTTCCGCTCTAGCAAACATCAGCTAGAGTAGTTAGCCTAGTAAGTGATGGTCATTAACAGAATCATTAATCATGTCATTAACAATGCGTCCTTGGCAGTGTGCTCACATTCAGGCACTTGCGCTTCGAAGTAGCAAAGTATAAACGTAACATACATACTCGTAAACAAAAGAAAACTTTGCACTTCACAGAACTAATAGATCATATATTTTCTCCGTCTTCCCAGGATGTAACGTAACAAGTACCTGAAAAGTGAATTTAGTATTTGAATACTGGCACCTCAAACAGTTAACTGAGAACTTGAGTACCCATGTACATTCCTGTTCTGATTAAGTTTTAGGTGTGAAATTGTAATCTAATAACATGGAGTTTGTGAACTGCCTATAGATGAGTTAGACCAATCAGAAGCAGCTAAACACCCATGCGCTGTAAACATGACACCACAACCACAACTAACTGGCAATCTGTCGCATTTCGGTCAGCATTCAAATTCAGAAAAATTAGATATGCTGGCCTTCTTAGCCAAAATAGTTTACAATGATTTATAATCACATTTCCAATCGCAGGCACAATATTAGTTAGAAAAAACACAGTCATATTCCACCAACTGTTCAGCCTTAAATCAACTTAAAAAAAATAACGCATAAATTTGGACATTTAGAGTCTGTTCTTCATTACAATTATATTTATCTTGTGTAGGTGCAACGTTACATTGTTTGGAAGGACTGTGTCATGCAATCAAGCTAACATTACTCAAATTTGCTGCCAAATTTGATTTGATGCTACAATATTAGCCAGCTTACTACCGTAGTATGGAATCTCAAAGTTATGAATCTAAACTCCAATCTAAAGTCATTAAATTGAAAGAGATTCTTGTCGATGTTCTGTAAAACTTGTCCAGTCTTGGTCTTGTTGCTACAAAACAACGCATTTTTGAGCAGAGCATGGATAGGTCAATTGGCCAAAGATCATGAATTAGTTCTGCATTCATGGCATTTACAGCCATAAGACAAAGAGAAGACTGTGTTTGTTGGTGCTTCAATAGATGCTGTATCACACAATCCATGTACACTCACACTGTTACTGTGGTGTAGCCCTAAACCATTTGCAGTCATGGACAATGCAGTGGTAAACATCAATATGCCATGGTTTTAACTGAAGCCATTCAAAAAGAACATGAAAGACAGCCACAGCATCACAAAACTCTAATTCACAAACAGTCCTATTCTTGTCTCCTAATGGACGGATGTCATTACTGGTGTTGTCCATTTCGTTGCTGAACTGTACACAATGAACCCATGCAATGGTAACACTGCGCCTCTGTAAGCAGCATTTGAAATGTGATCGCATGGAGCCAGAGATCAACTGACCTCCAACAGTGACTTCATAAGCTTCATGACTTGCGACTCTGCCAATCAGTACAGAGAAGACCTTTGCCTTACAGTAAAGTGCACTTCATCGATCTGCTTCTGAAGTTCGGATATTGATGCTTCAAAATAAGCATAGAAATACAGGCCAGAGGACTCCAACCACTCGCCTTCACCAGGTAGTAGAGCTTGAAATAAGGATTTTGGCCACACTTTACACAGAAGAAAAATGTGCACTTCATTTCACTTGTCCTGTAAATAAAAAGAGTAAAAGTGCTGAGGTGGAGGGTTTTATATCGTCAAACCCAGTCAAATCAAGACTGTATGTGGACACCTCAACATTTTGTAACGTTTATGTCACACCCGAACAAAGATACACTACGGTCATAAAATGTCCGGCGGTCCTCATGTGCAAACATCAATAACTGCTCTCTTAGATCCTCCCTGACAACTCATAAACCCTCAAAACAGAAGGTGCCTCGAATACACCCCTGTGGGACCTCCAGCAGTGGGATGGTCTGAGAGACCATACCCCGTAAACATCACTCACAGGGGTCGTGGACCCCCCCACCTCTTCTGTAGTTCACTTCAGTGTTCTTGCCCCTTGTTTGCCCCAAATCTCGGGGCTACCTGATGCGGCCGTTCTTTTTGACCAGCCCCAGTTCTGATTTAGGGTCTGGTGATAGCGAGCTCCAGGTGGTCTTGGCACACAGTGCCACAGTGGGGCAGAGGGAGGTCTCACTGGAGCAGATGTCTCCTGTCACCCAGAAGCCCCCCACCAAACTGTCCACCCAGGACTCCAGAGCCTTGCCCACCAAAGAGGCCTTCTTCTGAGCCTCCTCCAGGGCAGGCTCCATGGGGGGCAGCTTCAGCACGTGGGTCAGTTGTTGGAAGCCCTGCTCCATGTACACGTTGCCGGGAGGACCTGCATGCAGCCAGCTATGTTCCTCTGAAAATACATCACAGAAATGAGACAGAAGGGAGGGAAGTATTAGCATTCATAAAGCTGGGAAAAAACAGCACACAAATGAAGACCTAAGGCTATCTTTATACAGCTGTAAGAGCTGAAAGAAATCCAAAAATCACCATGCAACAAATTTTGTTTATTCCACTAGTTAGAAAGATTAATAGAAAGCATTTTCCACTCATTGTACTGTTGTAAAAATCATAAATTTATCTGCAATGTGTTATTTACATGTGCATCATTACATCATGTTTGCATGATTTTACAGCAAGTTTATCTAGGACGGCATCTCTGCAATAATTCTGTAATAATTGTCATGCTTTGGATCCCAAAGGAATCTCTACCCTGTGTAAAAGAGGGGCTTCAAGAGAGGAGAAAATGAATAATCTAGAAATGTTAACAAAGCAGAACAAATACTGGCACAAGTTAACCTAAGCTTGACTATCTAGCTAGCTAATTAAACCAACTTACTACAAGCAAAAAGGAGACCCTCATCATCACATGGTACTTCAAAAGCATTTTCACAAAACTTTCACAATGTTGAGACTAGAGGTGTGTATTATTAATGTTTTTTTTAATGTATTGATACCAGTACCAATACCCTGATTTCAATACTGAATCCTGAACGATACTTTCTTTGATGCCTTCTTTTTAATAATAAGTTGTTGGAAGTGAGCGTATTTACTGAATGTAACGAATTAAAGACAAATCAAGAAGAGCCACTGATAATAATGTGCTTGCATCATGTAATTTAGCCAACCAATCAGCAGACAGACTAATCAAGCATGCCTATTGGCTCACAGACACTAAGAATGACTACTAAGGTATTCAAATTTGGTACTAAATGTCACAGACTTTTTTGATACTCTGTTGTATTGAAATAATCTGGTTGCTACCGTAAAGGTATTGAATTTCGATATCCAGCCCTAGTTGTAACAATGCATCGTGACACATGATATGGATACTGCAGTAGACAACTGTGACATTGTGCATCATGGAGATGTGACAAGGCATCATGGAGAACCGACACTCTAAAACAATTATGCTATCTAATGCAACTGCACTGTTTTAGCCAATCAAACTCCTCCTGACTCTCAGCTTTTTTAGTTTGTGACAATATGTGAAACAATATGACTGTAGTTATAATTTTTCTTCATTCCAAGTTCAAAATATCATGAAAATACCGAAATCGTGAACCCAGTGCTGTGAATTGTATCGTGCGGCAAGGGTATCATTACATATCATTAGTATAGTGTCATGCGAGTTTTAAGCAACTAAGTTGTCTAAGTTTCACCACATAAAGCCAGCCTAAAACCCTCAAAAGGATCTTTTCAGCAGCAGTCAGTGTGAGCACAGCTCATTTTGGCAATGCCGCCATCTCCTCTGAAGACTGATGTACTGTTATAGTTATACATTCTTTGATCGGAAAAGCTTATTTGACAACATGGGCACAAATACCGCACCAACCAGTAACACTACAAACCCAATGCTAATAGAGCATTAACTAGTTGATGTTACACTATTCTGCAGCATCATGCTAACTGATAATCTTGCTAATAAGCCTTTGCCCAGTGAACGTGAACCGAGTTACTGCGGTAGCAGTCCCCAGTGACAGTAAAAACGTATTAACCACCAGTTTAAAGAAATAAAAACTTAAGTGATTTTCATTTATTGATTTATTGGTGAATATGAAGCTGACTTCAGCTTTCTGGTAGCATTTTTGATAAGGTGATTTAAGCTGTCAAAATATCCTACCTAGAGTTTTATGTAGGAGTTGCTACAAAGAAATATGCACTACGGTAGGACAATTCAACAAGGAAGCTGAATTCGTTGGAACATTGGGAGGCTGTACAGAGGATGTAGGTGCAGCAGCTGCTTTGCTAAAGAAAACACACTGCACTGCTTTAGACTTATAGGATGTTGTGTTTCATGAGACTGCTGGTGTTACACCTTTACAGGCAACTACTGCTTTACATATACTGCACTGAACTGCATTTTCATTAAATTTAGTAAAGTAAGCCCACACTTTTAAACGTCTTACCATATCAGCTATGACCAGAGAGCAGAAAATGATGCTCAGCATTCAAAATGGGTGGTTAGGGTTAGCAATTTAGAGGGATGCAAATTTGAAAATGCCAGCTATGTAAAATGCAGCAGCGCTGGAGCATGTGCTTGAAGCTGCAAGCAGATAACACGCCTGTACAAAAAAAGCGTACATTTTAGTACATCCTCAGACCACAGAGTCAGGTTTCAACAGAAAAACATAGTAAAACCATGGTAAAAAAAAGGCACGTCTCTGCTCTCAGCATCAGGCGAAATGGGCCTTTTCAAACTGTGACATTTGCAATTAAATTTTTCCTTACTAGGTTAATCACAGTTTTGTGGCCACATCTACCACTACTTGGGGTACCAAACTGCTCTTTATGTTCTTTTATTTGACAAAGATTAAGTTTTACATCACTGTGCTTGCTCCTGTGTCCACCTCAACGTAAGGGACAGTTACAAAATCACTGGACAACAAGGTAAAGGAAAATCACCCCCAGCCTGGTTTAACTGTTTACTCCGGTTACTCTCTACACCCAAATAAGAGGACTCTGTTACCAGCACAGGCCTACATGCTAACCTTTCTTTACTCTTAGTAACAACAGAACCATGAACTCTCTCACCTTTGCGAAGTGGTTCTCTTCCTTTAAAGGCCAGAGGCATGACCAGGAAGCGTGCTTCTGCCACTCGCTCCCATAGCCTCAACACGCGGACCGTCCAAATTCCAGGCCGGAGAGGACGCTGCAGTGGGGGCTTGTACTGTGTGAATTCTGCCTCCACGTCAACGCTGATGTCATAGGAGGCTGCTACCACCTGTGCTGGGTCGATCCACACTATGGTGGCTGTAAGGTTGGGGCCACGAGCCCACTTCTGCACCGCTACAGGCTCATCCAGAGGGCCCATAACACCTCCAAAGTTGCGGAAAATTCTCTCTTTGGGGTCCCACTCTGTCCCAACCTGGAGGATGACAATGTGCAAAAATGCTTGTGGTATGACCATGGACAAATTTGAATTCCTTAAGAGGAAAAAGTTTACATTTGCATAATTTCAGACACACTTTTTTCACAATTTTCCTGCATGAAAGGGCAACCTTTGAGTGATGTGTTATCCACCCAACTGTTATTTCCTCATGCATGTGCGTATATCAATATTAGACACTGCAATTTGTCACATTTGATACGATATTCATTATTATTCTACTTTTTAAAAAAATTCTTAACCACTTTCTGATCAACTTCTAATTTTAATAAAAACAAAAAAAACTCATCAAGTGGGAATCCCATTATCAAACAGCCTCTCCATAACGGCTGCTTTGCTTTCTTTCACGCTCTTACCTCCAGGTTCTTAAGCCTCTCAAACTCATGCAGGTTGCTCTCGAGTTGTAGAGTTGCTTGGGGAACAGCCCACACCTCCAGCATCTCCCTGCCTCCAGACACTACACTCTGCACCTCCTGTCGTACCAGGTAGCCCTGGAAACGGTCGTCATAGAAATAGAGATACACCGACACAGGGTAGCCAATGGCCTCAAACCTGCAAGGAAATGCAGCAACGTTAAAGCAGAACCACAGTTTCAATAGCCCCAATATATACGGCAATTAAAGCTAGTTTCAAAATACAGCTCCCAGCAAGCCTTGTGCTCATAGCATGTAACCAAAGCAGTAGGACCATCTATTAACAGAGCTATTATTCTAATAATTAATCAAATAATTTGATTAATTAAAAATAAGATTAATATTGTTTAAATAAAACAATAAAAAATAATTTAACTAAATAATAACAAAACGATTTGTTTCAGATTCAAAAACTGGATGACTCAGAAAGCCTTCAAAAAGATTTCATTAAAACACAAATAAAAACACTACGTGGCAAAAATGCATAGAAATTCCACTGGGTTTTCTTACTGTAAGAGTACGAAAAGGAACAGTTAGAGAATTTAAAATATGCATTATTGTAATGCAAATAATCATTGTTGATTCATCAAGATACATTTGAATAAATTAGAATTATTCTTCATTGAGTAATCAAGCCCTACCCAGCAGTCATGCAAACACATTATTTAGAAGTCAAATATCAGCACTGCTGCTGAATGCTCGGAAAATATTAATGCAAAACCCATCAACAAATGTTCAATACAGCATGCATTCCTTGACTCATGGGTGACTACTACTGACTCAACTGTGACAAAATGAAGTGTGAAAATCACATTACGCAGGTTTTCATTAGTGATTCACACATACTCATTTTCAACTTGAGACAGAAAAGACAATCAAGACTGTGATACACTGAGAAACCACTAACACAGTCATACAGTTCTAGTAGATTCTCACTCAAACTACAGACACAGACATGCAGAAAACAGAAGTTATGGGTCTCCTCTAGCCCTATACAGTGGCGAGGGTGTGGGGTGTCTCACCTGCATGCCTCACTGCTGGCGTGTGCGGTCTCCTGACTGTGCAGGCCCAGTCTGAAGAAGGAGGAGTAGGCCGTTAGGGCCACATCACTGAGTATGCCCACACCGTCCTCACGCTCGAAAAGACTCTCCCAGTAGGCCTTGAGCGCTGCCGTGCCCGGAGGGTAGTGACCGTACAGGTGGGTGTCCAGGATGTCTATGGCCTCCTGATTCACGGTGGACTCAAATTTGCGGGCGAAGAATGTAGGCCTGGTCAGTTGCTGTTGGGGGAGAATGATGGAGGGTCACAAATTCACTACAGTAGCTTAGAATAACTGTAGGTATATAATATAATTAAGACAGCATTTAAAGCCACTAAGTAGGGACACTACACAACTTTCAAAATTCTAATATATTATGAAGAGACTAGATAGCTCTCAACATAATTGTCCACGGACATGATTTTCTAATTGGAAAACACAAAGGAGAATTCCACAATTTTTTCTAAATTTTTGCAGAGCTCAGTCCTTGAGAGATAAAAAAAAGCCGATCAGAGTGGTTGAATGTGAAAAAGTTCATCGGAGAGAAATTTGCAGACTCTGATTCCTCTACAGTGGTGGTGAAATGAACAAGGGGTTGCTATGTCTACAACACAAATCTAGCCAATTTTATTTACTATCCAAAATGACTAGAGAACCTACACGTGTTTGAGTTTTTATCTGTAATGTTGATAATGATAAAATAAAATAAATAAATCATAAAATAATGTCTCATGCATCAAGCAGTGTATTTGTAACCATTTTATGTAAATGTTTTCTGTGAGGTAGCTTTAACCATACAAGTCCACTGCTTGCGAATTAGTCTTCTAAAATTTCACCCCAATTCATTTTCTAGCATAAAAAAATGCAGGAGGGACTATGGGACAGCGAGCAGCATGAACATGACTAGCGGTGCAGCAAGAAAAATTGAGCAGGCATATTAAACATGCAGTGCTGATGAATTAGGAAAAAGCAATTTTCCATTGTCTGTGCACAACAAGGATTTGCCTATATAGTCCCATCAGGGCGACATGGACGAAAAGTTAATAACAGCTGTGCTAGAAAGAACAGAAATGTTTCCAGCACATACAGAGCATGGGAGCTGCCTCAAATCTCTTTTTTTTCTGATGTACAGCGTAGCTAATTTAGAGCATTCTCCATATTTGTAGTAGAGTATTTTTTTACAACAGCATATTTGAATGGGAAGGTCAGTGGATGATGTAATTAGATAGAGTAAACAAGAAATCTTTTAACTACAGTGTTAATATTTCACAGAAATATTTAATTCGCTATTTAGAACGAAGTTCATATGAGTAGCCTACTTGAGAAGACTACTTAAAATATATTTAAAATCAATGACTGACAGGTTCATTCACATCCTGTGTTGTAGACCGGCACGCTCCTCAAGCACAAGAGTTACACATCGCTTGCAGTGGACATGTACTATTAGAGGATTTATACTTCAGATGTCTGGTTCCCATCACCACCACTTTCAACAACTCTGTCTCCACAAGTTTCTCTAAAATGGCGCACTGCACATTAAACTGCTCTGAATGACTTTGATTGGACTGGAATTGGATACACATTAATATTGTACATATTCATCAGCACAAGTAATGCATCGTTTATCAGAAAGCTGCTTCAGTATGTTAAGCTGTATGAAACATTATGAGACTCAGGACTATACACGGACCTGAATTCGGATAAGGTCAGCAGGTTTGAAGTCGTTGGGGGAGCAGCCACACCAGTCCACTATGTGCTTGTACTGGCATTTGCAGCCCAGCTTGCGGTTCCAGTTAGTCACGCGCAGGTTGTTGTCCACTAGCGTGTCACACATGTGGCTATTGCCCAACACCGTGTGAAAAAAAGACTGTGAAACAGAAAAAACTTTGGTCAGAGTCAACATTTTGGAGAGTTTTGCTATCCCCAAAAGAATGGTTATATGATTACACCTGGGCAATGCACCAGAAACGGGGGGAAATGGAAGTAATAGAGGTGTATTATTTTCTCTGATGTACAATGTGCGCTTGTGTATTGATCTCACACAATAAAAAGCTAATACAATATTTTGTCACCTCTTTACTCCACTGTTCTTTGCGCTTTCTTTTTCTGCTATGGCACAAATACGCACAAAGTGCTGTAATTTAAACTGCTGCGCACCACTGATTTCATCCTTGCCCCCCTTCATAGCAAATAATAGTGTATTATCTCAAGACTATACTGGAGTATGAACATTTGGACACCAGCCCTTTACAAGTATACAATCAATGGAATAGCCACTTCAGCACTCAACCAAACTGTTGAAATATTAAAACACCCAATTCATAACATTTTTCTTTGAGTCACCCAAACTGGACCTCTAAACAAAAGCAACAGCTGCGATCTCTACGGCAGCAGCACTAGAGGGTGAGGAGGCACCTCAGCAGGGAGCAGGGCGTAGGTGTAGAACTGCTTCAGTCCGTTCACCAGCTCGTCCTGGGAGGTGACCACATACTCCACAAAGCGGCGTGTGAGTGAGAACCAGTCTGAGCCACCTGACACTTCCAGGCCCTCGGGGATGGTGCGCTCGCCCAGGCGCCACATGTGGTTGTCACACTCGTGGAAGAGCCGGTCAAGCCCCTGCTTCTTTATGAACCTACACAGCACCAGAGAAGAAGGTGAAGATTAAAAAGGAATCATTCAGCAAAAAATCCAATTTACGCAAATTTCATCCTTAGTCTAAATGTAGCTGATCAGCCAAGAGATGTTTGATATTTTAAGTATGGTCCTTTAGTTTTACACTGGAGCTACAAGCTAGAGATTTGTAGCTAACAAATTACAGAAGCTCATACCTTAATCAATCAAATTGTGCAAACTAACTGTGGGTGATATGTCGAATTTATGACCTTAAGACACTTGGAGGAATTTTCACAATAAATAACAAGGGTCATGATATTTTGTTTTTCTCAGGGGTGTGAAGTTGGAATGGACAGAATGGTCCAGTAAAACCCCAGTGTCACATTCAAACTCTAATATGCTGACGTCCAATCAGCTTGTCATTATACCGAACACATTCAGTGCATCAAAATTTATTTTAGGCACTTATGCCTCCCAGTGCTGATAAAGTAAACTATTCAAACTGGCATTTTAGCCATATAAATTCCTAAATACAATTGTTTCACATGTTTTTATTTTTGGAATCTTTAAAGTCATAACATGTTGCAAAACAGGGCAGCTTTAAAAATATTTAACTGATCAAAAAATTTTTGTAAATTCTAACTTACTCAAATGTCATGCAGCACAACCAACAAGAGCCTGACAAGATTTTAAGAAAGAGTGGAGCGATGCCTGTCACTCCTGACAGCAGTTTACCAAGTAAAGTGGTATGATCCCAGGAAAACCATGAACATGTCATTATTATAATGTTTATTTATTTTGGGGAAAAAAGTATGCTTAATAAGCTTGAGTTTAAGGACAAAAGGTTACATGTGTGTCCAAGCACAATGACTAGTTAATACATGTTTTCAGTTCTAAATAACTTTAAAATAAATGATGAAAAAACAAAAATCAGACTAATTTCTTATGAGTTACAGTCATATCCAAAATGTGAATACCTCCGTTCAAATTACCTTTTTTATTTTTCTAAGTGACACTAAGCAAACATCTTCTGCAGAGAACCTAAAAGTGGCATTTTTCTGATAACTGCAGCACAGCATTTATAATTTAAATGTTTGTGTTTAAAATATAGAATGTAAAATGTGCCAATAACCTTTGCACAGACGTTTTTCTTTTATTCCCCAATATATTAAATTCAGCAAATAAACAGTGACTGGGCATTAAAATGTGCAGAAGTGTGTTCTCTGTAAAGGATGTATTCTTACCTTAGAAAAACAAAACATGTAATTTGACCAGGGGAACCCAAACTTTTACATATGAATGTATTCAAGTCAGACTGTTTGTTTGTGGTATTCCTGAACAATATTGTACTGACAGCTGCATTGGTTTATATGCACTGCTACTCATAAATGCACTGTGTGAAAAGCCTATGCTGCACTGCATTTCACGGATGCTGCACTGCATTTCACGGATTCACTTTATAGTCTGTAGTTTTACATAAACCAAAGCAATACAGTATCATGAGCGCTTTCTCAGTATCCTAAGTGTTTTCGCAGTAGATGAGCCACTGAATAAACAGTCAGCATTAAATACGCAGCATGTATTTTTGGATTTGCATGTCAATGAGTCAGGGAAAAGGAAGTCAAAAAAAATGGTGACCAAGCTACCTGGCGTTCTCTCTGCCATGAGACTTCAGGAAGTTTTTGTCACGGTTCTGCGAGAGAAAAACCACCAGCTCATCGTTGGTCCTGTTTGGGGACGATAGGAGAAAAGCGAGAGAGAGAGAGCGAGAGAGAGCGAGAGAGAGAGAGAGCGAGAGAGATCGAGAGAGAACGAAAGCGAGAGAGAGAGAGAGAGAGAGAGAGAGAGAGAGAGAGAGATACAAAAAAGAAAAAGAAGAATGCATGAAGAATATAAAGAGCTGACTGGAGGCGAGCAGGAATGAATGTGATGACTTCCTCTAGATGGAATTATCCGCTCCTGACAGGATTTGGTGGTCATCAACGTCTCTGTGTGCAACGGGCCACAAATGTCGATTTAGTTTTTTTTCCCCTTTCTTTTTTGAACCGCACGGTCGGCTGCGGGGATTATAAACTGCCAGGAAAGGCTCTGATGTGTCGGGGAGGGAAAAAAAAGCTCCCTGAACTGATAGAGGAGAAAGAGAGATGTGCCAGCTTCACCAAACACCAGCACAAAGAGAGCTTTCACACCATGCAGCTCACAGCCAAGACCTGCAGCCACACGTAGCGGTTACCTTTACTGCTCAGGACTGAGTCTCTCTGGAACTAACCTGAGTGAAGAAGATTTCTTCTCCCCGAATTCCACAGGAGGGAGTGAAAGCTATTTGTGTTTGATAAAGGCACTTTATATGCAACAGCAGCAACACTAGAAGGCTCTGTTATTGAGCGGTTTAATCACTGTATGCTTGACTATATGCCTCTTATGCTCCCTTATACATAAATGCTACCATTCAAAAGTTTCGATTCACTACTGAAAACTTTTGAATCACTGTTTTCAATATTAAACCAATCTGTATGTATAAAAATGATAAAATTACGCTCCATAATTCTAGTACTGTGCAACTTCTCAGATTTCAAATTGTTTAATTAAAGACTTTTAAATGCATGCAGAATGGTGAACAGAGTGGATGATTCTATACCATCATAACACAGCATGGATACAGAGCCTCTGTGTTACTCTTCAAACAGAGCAAATCCATGCTTTCACAGAAGACGTGACTGACCTGGTGGGGAAGTCTGTGGCACTGAGGTTGATAAAGAAGTCCCACTTCCACTCGAGCATGGACAGCAGGTCCTGCATGCTGTGCAGGTAGGCCTTCAGTAGGCTTGCCCCGCCCCAGATAGTGACCATGCGCCAGGGTGTGGCCCTCACGTTGGGGTACAACTCAGCCATCTGCAGAACTTCACGATGCAGGTAGTTGGAGCGCTACAGGGAATCCACACAATGAGGTCAGACAGCATTTACACATGGGCCTTAACAGCACAGCTGTCAGCATCCACATCTCCACTTCTGTTTCAGAAGAGGAATCTCAAACTGGCACTGCTTTTCACTGCTGCAGTACTGAAAACTGAGCAACACTGAAAAAGGGAGCTGATGTTTTAACCTTTTCACTGTAAATATTAAAGGGAAAAAGAAAGATACAATCATTACTACAACTATCGTACACAATCTTACTCTTACATGCTTACAGCTGTGCTGCAGTAGTCTCTAAATTAAGACTTCTGATAATGGATCTTGAAGGTTCAAGGAATTTTTAGAAAACTACAACTGCTTTGGGGTTTATTTTTGAAGGGCAGGCTGTAAACTTTGTATATTTAACTTTATTACCTGGTGAATGCAGAAGAAATACACAAGAGAGAATGTTTCTGCTAGGAACCTGAATATCTCATTGCTGCCTTATAACTGTAGTAACTGCCTTTAAATCATCATAAAGAGAGAATGCATTACTTAAATGACAAATGACTCAGATGACAAAGACAAAGAGCTAAAAGCTCAAGTTAGGTTGTTTGGCATATTTGCATAACGCATGCTGGGTATTGTAGTGACGGTACACTGATGAATGAAAACATGGAAATCATATAAATTGTGAATTCTGTTAAACTGAATAGGCTGAGGGATACAATGCTGTGCTACAGAACACCGCATCACAAATAACATCAAAATCTAGTTTTAGGGTACAAAGCCCCTTTAAGAGAGAATAAAAGCTCCTCAAAATTATACATCATGACTCCACAAGCTATTGGTTGATTCTATTACTATGTCCGCATTTTCGCAGCATTTTCAATGATTTAAATTGTAGGTATTCGCAATAGCCTGGCCCAGCTTTGTGGGAACGTGATGTAAATGCATTACTGCATGTGGGTGTGCTGCAATAGAGTATAGATTCTAGCTCTGTTTTCTGTTTATAATAAACATGAATGATGCTTTAAACACATTCCCACAGAACACAAAATGGGGAAAAAAGAAAAGCACGCTCTCTATGAAGAGCCTTGCCCTGCCTCCTCAGTGCTGGTGTAATTAAAAGGGGTCGCATACGGGGAGGGAGGAATGGCTACAACTGTGTTTGGATGCAATCCATGAGAACTTTGAGCTGTACTCAAACAGAAAGAGCAGATGCCAAAAAAGCTTTCTGATGCTTTATATGCTGATTTGCTGATTCACTGTTAGAAAATTAGATGAGCTCTGGTGAAAAGTTACTTTTAAAACATTTACATCAAGAAACCTTGGAAGCTCTAAGAAACAGATCAAAGGAGGTGGGAACAAAGAGCAGGTGGTACAGCACCATATATCAAAGAGTGAAAAATATACTCCCAGGAACACATTCTGACTACCCCCAGTCCTCCATGCACATCTGTTTTTCTGGGTAAAAACCCACTGATTTCCTTAAACCTTGTATTGCAACCTTTCAGGCAAACCTTAAAAGTGTTGTGACAACACACCATATTTGTTCAAGGACACCTGAGTGGTGTCACTGACCTATTCATTATACGACATCTTCTACAGAAGCATCCCAGAATGGCTGAATTGCTGAGCTATTAAACTTTCAAGCAGCCACTGCATCATGCTGGGGATCTACTTTTGCTGGATGGTATTTGTAAAATTCAGCATTAGAATGTTTTCCAAATTCATCTCACTATTGCAGAATTTGAATAACAGCATGCATAACACTGCTGTACAACACCACAATTGGTGTACCTGTTTAGAAGCGTCATTGCCCAGCACTACTGTCCACTTTCAGCAATTTTCTAGTCCTCCAGATGTTCAAAATCTAACCTGTACCAGTGGAATTCAACTTGGCAACCTACCTTGTCTACATGGATGTAGTAGAAATGGTCTTTGTGGTAGATGGCCTTGAGCAGCCGTTTCAGCTGCCGGACAGCTCGGCCATGGACCATCAGAACGAAGGCCACCCTGACTGGGTTCTCCACCTTAGACAGATCATTGTCTATAATATCAGCCTGCTGAGCAGCACTGGAGAGAACTGGAGGAAAAAAAACAAAAACAAAAAAAAGAGTGCAGAGAATGTATATTACTATGTATGTAAACTACCTTAAAAAAGGTTCGGTTTTTCAATGTACACCTGGTCCAAAGACAATCATCAGCACATCACTGAATGATAAGTTCAGTCTACAACAATCAGAGTCAGTCAAATGTTTTAAAATCTTTCTTGTTACTTATAACTCTGAGTAGACCTTTGCGATAGAGTTATATAATCAGATATCAGTGGTGATTGACAAATAACCCATTAACAGTGCTTCAAAAGCAATAATTGCCATTCTGGGAAGACAACAGACAGAGAACTAGAGAGGGCTTATTTAATATCAAGCAGCATGGTACATAATAAACAGTATGTACATTCTATGTTTTATCCCCTTCTACTGTTAAAACATTGATGATTACAGAGCATTAATTATCTGTCAGGCAATGAAAGAGCCCATTGTCTACTGTAGCTGCTACAGACTTTTTGGAGTTCGAGATATTGCCTGAGGAAAATTCTCAACGTTCTGTGTACAGCTTAAGTGTCTCGATGGTTTAGAGGAGTTATAAAACTATGAAAACAGAACTCTTTGTGGTTACCCACAGGCATCTATAGCCGAATTCCAGACAACCTCTGTTACAATAACAGATACAACTTTTTTTTTTTTTTTATAAAGCACAAAGACGTAGCTCTGAAACTCACCAAGTCACACATTTAGTAGTGTGTCTTTTCTCCAGAAGAGGAGCTATTAGCACATAAGTTGCTTTTGTGTTTGTCATTTAAGAAAAAATAAAAGTCACAAACCCACAGCAATATCTCACAAATGCAAGTGTTTCCAAGTTTCAAAACAAGAGGTGAAGTATATAATATCATATTATTTAATATGTGAATTTTATTAAAGATTTTAATTAAACTTGTTTAATTATGTTAAAAAAGAATATATGCTAAAGATAGTACAGAAAGTAGGTTTAACCTGCTGTGGATCGTACATATTTGAAACAATCAAAAAGCCCAATTTTGTGCGACAAAATACTATGCTAATGACTTCTACATATTGCCCAGGCCCAGCCCTGAGGTACATTAATGCATTAAACTCCATGTTTATTTAACAATAACATTTTTTTTTCCTTACCCCAAATGTAGCTGAAACTGCAACGTCATGGAAGCTTCAATCCCACTATTTACCACTATGAAAACTGCATGTTTAAATCATCACATATTTGCTTCAAACCATGTCTTGCATTACTTTATTGCAGCCTTAGTAAAGAACTAAAGAAGACAACTTCAGACCCCAGACATGTCTTGGCGCATCGTCTATATTTGTGGTAAGGGCAAAGTCTGTGAATCTGATTCTCTTAAGGCAGAGCTGCATCAAAGAATGCTCTTACCGTGCTGTGGGCAGAACTGAGGCAGAGACTGCGGCATCAGTTCTCCAGACTGGTGCTGGCACACGATGTTAGCGAGCTCCTGGCGGCACTGGCGCGAGCTTGCACGGTGCAGAGCAGAGAGGGCGTCCTTCCCTGAGATCTCGCATTTGGGTACAAAGTCACTGTTTGGGATCTGAGGGGCGCCTTCCACACTGCCCGGTTCTCCTGGAACAGCCAGTGGAATCTTGCCCCCCTCCCCTGCCCGCATATCTGTAAAGTTACGGCTGCTAGATGGGTCATAAGGGGCGATGCCGTCGGCTGCTGCTCCGGGACCCTGCATATTTAGGCTCTTGCCTATCAGGGAGGGTTTTGATCGTCGCTTGGAGCCCTTCCTGAGGGCTCGAGTGACGGCGGCCTGCTCCAGGCCCTCCTTAAACCGGCCACGATAGCCCCCAGAGAGCGCATTCTGCCTCTCAGAGGATTCATGGTCCCTCTTTAGGTCCTGATTGTTGTGGTCAGGCAGCTTAGACCGCCTGTGAATCTGCTGAAAGGAAACAGAAAATGACTTAAGAATCAGAAGAATCAGAACCAAATTTATTTTCACATACAAAGAACTTGGAGAGTGCAGACATATAACATACTATACAGATCAGACAAGCAGGTGACACTCAAGTAGGGTATGTAACCCTAAAGTACGAAGCACTTAGTCAGTTAAAGCCCCTGTTAAAGCCTCAATGTTTGGGGGGAGGTTAGCTAATGCAGCACTGAGGTAATGTATCATTTTATTCCTACCGTTAAAGTGCACTGCTAGCTATCACGTTCTCAAAAATAAAGTTACTCCTCTTACAGTACGATCCTGCAACAGGTTTAAAAGAAAATCATGAAAATAAGCAGACGGGCTTTATACTGATAATAATTTATCGATTTTTCAAAATTGCTGAACAGCTATATGTATATGTGAATATGGGCATATAGGCAGGGTCTGAGAAGGCATATAATCCAGCAAAATTTACAGTATATTACAGTGACATGAACAATGTATCAAAAGTCACACAGTAAACAACTTATTACTGTAACAATTTGATACCAATGTTCAAAGTGTTTATTTCTTTATTACACAGGTTAACACTACACTGACACTGTATTATGTGCATAAATACATCCAAGCAGAATGTGATGGATGTCAGGCTATACTGTGCATCTACAGGCTCATATTACAGTCAGAACATAAGCCAATGTTAAATGATCTCCCATTCATGTTCCTAACTTTGATTTCAATGTATTGCAGGATATGTTTTGTTTGTTTGTAATTTGTTGCTATTTGTACCAACATAATCATATCATGGCTGTACGAAGTAGTTTGGTGATAAGAGACAAGCACTCACAGAACAGTGCATCAACTTTAAAATTCACAGAAGAGATTTTTTAACAGACCAAACTAATGATGATTCACACACGGAGAACAATAAAAACCCACTGACGTGACACAATGTGGGCCCAGAGGCACAACATGTTTACTTTTTGTTATCTTGTTTCTTGCTTTTTTATTTACGGATCCAATCTTAGCTATTTTTAAACAGAGCCACCTCATTTGGGAGGAATCTGGGAGGAAGTAAGTTACAGGAAACTGAGATTTCTAATGAGGACACTGAGTCACAATGAAGGGAGCTGCATAAAACCCCACTCTCACCAGAAAAACAAACACTGTGAAGGCTCCAGCCAAGAACAACTCAAAATTGCATGGGTGTGTTTAAATGGTAATATGAAATTACAATACCTAAAGGCATTTTCATGACAAGATAACATGATATTTTGGTTTTCCGAGTTTTGGAATACAAGTTGGAACAGTACCACAGGCTATGAAAAATCGACGAGATTTTTTTAATTCAATATATGCAAAAAAAGCTATTTAAGAAGGAACAGGAGGCAAAAGATCATTCAGGTGCATGTTATTTTACACTTTACTAGATTCTGGCTGTTCTTGTTCATAGACTCTAACTGGTTAAAATCTGTCTTTTTATGACAGATGTTGTTGTTCAGGGTTCTAGAGGTACTGACTGTAACCATAATATACTCCAAAAAAATGGTGTATTGTAATTTTATCACTAAGGCTGCAACAATTGACATTATTGATAACACTGATAAGTACAGAACTTGAATCTGGTAAAACAGCATTCTTGCGGGTCGTGCAGAAGGCATCTTGTGGCACTGTTGATCTTGACTGGGTTGGTGTTTTATGTTAGAAAGAGCAGCGTCCAATAGACAAAATAATCCTTGTATGTTTATATTGCTAAAAGGAACATTGTGTATGATGTGAATGGTGTACTTTTTCAAAGACCACTGGCCGTGCTTTTTATTCTTAGTGTCTAATCGGTTCATTGTGGCTTTGATAATCAATTATGGAAATTGTTAGTCGCAGTTATCACAATAACAAATCGTCCTATCTTACAGCCTGTCCTGCACAGACAGGAGAGCAGGCTTCAGTCCGCACAAGCACATGCACATCCTAACAAGGAAGAGCCACTGAGAGAGAGAGAGAGAGAGAGAGAGAGAGAGAGAGAGAGAGAGAGAGAGAGAGAGAGAGAGAGAGAGAGAGAGAGAGAGAGAGAGCTTAATGAAGTAGGCTGGTAGAGACTGTAAACAGAAGCAGGCAAGTGGAGCTGGAGGGTTGCCATGCTCTAAGCTCCCCAATAAGATCACTGTCTGAGAGCGAACGAGTGGTCTTATCTCCAGCACAATCTCCAGTAGCCCCAGTAACACTGCCCCATTAATTAGGTCTGTGGCTCACGGCCCAACCCCCTCCCTGCTACTGGGCATTTACGATCCCGCTGCAGTGACCAACAAAACAAGCACAGGCGGACCAACAACTCCTGCTTTCATTTACCTCACTACACTATTTGACTGTGTAAATGCAAAGCAACCCATGCATATGCACTGAGCACCAAAGCTAACACACTGCTGCCTGTGTCTCAAACATACTTCAACGACCTTTCTAAAAACAGACATTCAGTGCAGGATCAATGACAGGGAGACAGATAAGAACAGAACAGGCAGGGGTGGCATTTTCAGGAGCGATTCCGCCCCTGCACCTGCTATCAACTTCTATTTCACTCATGTACCTCTGACCTGGTGACACAGAGAGCATTTGTTGTTAGGTCACGTATGCTGCATGCAATCATTTGTTCTAAGATGAAACCAGGAAAGCATGTTGAATGTGTGAACAGGTAACATGTATTTCTGACGTGCACCATGTCTGTCATGTTGGCTCGACAAGCTTGATAATTAAGACGGATGGAGGATGGCATGCAAGAAACAAATCTGCCATGCCAGTTTGTTTTGTTTATATTATTCCTTGCAGCCCGTTCGACATGTTCTTCCTGTATTTAATTAATAAATTACCTTTACAGCGCACATACTATTAGATATATTAATGCAATATCAGCTATTTTTCTAACAAGCAGCTCACAGTGAGGCGTTCTGATGCCATTTTCGTATTTCAGTTTTTTTTTTTTTAATTTAATTCAGTAATGTAAACACTGAAGTCCAAAGCCAACCACAGTCTTGACTTGAGTACATATTCAATAACACGTGATGTTCACCAAATGCAATATTGTTATCGTGAACACTTCGAAATCCTCTCACTGCATTTTAGGGCCTGTTTACAACTTGCATCAACATGCATTTTTGGTCAGATCACATTCTGAAGCAGTTTGTCCTACCCATCGAGTGGTCCTAGTGCGCACATGTATATCACTAGTACAGAACAGTAACTTTGTCTAATATTTTATTGTGTTTTTAATGTTGATTCAGCCTTACTTCAAGTGTATCATACAGACTCAGCTTAATATTACTACTTACCATCTGATAAAGTCATTTAGGATATTTTGATAGCTTATACAATCTTATCAGATATAGTGTCACGCAGGGACCTACCTATATGTTTGCATTATGTTAAAACATTTTGACAAGGAAGGACACCGAACGGCTTCTCTGACCAGAAAGACTGACTGTAACTTTTTATGTTTAAGACATTATGTTTACAATGCACAGCTACGGTAAGAGTAGCCTTTAGACTACTTCACATGTTTAAGCTGTAGCTGTTTTATTATTCTAACAAGAAGCAATTTATAGGCTGCCAAACACACACACACACACACACACACACACACACACACACACACACACACACCATCTAAACCACTTATCCTTCTGGGTCACGAGGGGGAGCTGGAACCTATGACTGCCAAACACATGATTTATTAAACCTTTAGGAAAAACTACCAAATTACTGCAAGAACAACCAAACTCTAGCAAGAAAAAAAGTTAGCTTGTGACAAAGAACCAAGTTTCTGAGCAGAAAGCATGTATATTTTCCATGGTTTAAGCAGACACGACAGGTAAGGAGTAGTCAGTATTTCCAGCTCCTGTGCGCACTGAAAACATAGTGGTGTGGGAAAGCTGGGCTGCAAATAATTGTTACTACTCCTGGCCTCGAGCGCAGTTTACTGGGAAACCCAGCATTGCACTGAGGTTCAGTTCTAATATTGTCTTCCAGAAATTGAGTTGAATAAAATGTAGCATAGGAGCTGACGCTGGCTGGAATATCATCACACACAAAGGACAGCTGCTTATTTCTAGTACTTCCTTTTAGCAACTGCTGCAAAGATCAGCCAGCAAAAGCACATTTAACATGACCTGTCTAATTTCTGTCATGCACAACAACATACCTACCTGAGGTAGGGCTATATAGATAGCACCTTACGTGTCACCTTACATGTCAGTTCCAATTAACCCCAGCATCACAACTGCACTCATTCCTGAAGTTCTTGTGAAACCGGGTAAGATTTTTGTTGTTTTAAGACTACAAAGAAATCCAGTTTCTAACTTACTTTATCAAAAGCCTCTGAGTCCCATCTGGCATCTGGCTTACTCTTTTACGTGTATATTTGTGCATACTTGTCATAGGCTTTTAGCAGGATGGGACGATAATGTAAATTTAGACTAAGGATTTATGTCCAAAGAATTGTGATAAACAATACTGTGATTAAAATAAAGTTACAAAGTGCCACGTGTGCGCATTACAGAGTCTTACCCTACAGTGCACATCTCCCCTGATTACAATATTATTACCATTTAATTACCAACTGAGTCAAGTTCTAATATTACTTAATAATTTATAACAATAACAGCCTTTTTTCTGCAATAGCTATCAATTTTATGCTCTACTGGACAGTAGATCTCATGTTCTGGAGTTTCTATATTTTAGTTTCATGTTCCCCAGCAGTGGCATTTAAAGTATGTATGTATCACCTATAACTAAATGCAATATTTTCTACTGTACACATTTTAACTAACCATATATTTCACTAGTGAACAGTCTCATCAGTACAAAGCCTTTAATGTATATCAGGGATCAGGCTATGAATTTAAAACATGCATTATCATCATGCAAGTTGCCAACTAATCATTGCAGAATCACTGAGAAGGTAAATTTTTAATATGTTATTTTAAATTATGACAGCTTCTCTCTATTGACAGGGGAAC